ACAAGAGTGTCCCACAAGAGTGTCCTACAAGAGTATCCGACAAGAGTTTCCTACAAGAATGTCCCGCAAGAGTGTCCCACCAGAGTGTCCCACAAGAGCTTCCTACAAGAGTGTCCCGCAAGAGTGTCCCACCAGAGTGTCCCACAAGAGTGTTCCGCAACAGTGTCCCGTAAGAGTGTCCCACAAGAGTGTCCTACAAGAGTGTCCCACAAGAGTGTCCTACAAGAGTGTCCCGTAAGAGTGTCTCACAAGAGTGTCCCACAAGAGTGTCCCGCAACCGTGTCCCACAAGAGTGTCTCACAAGAGTTAAGAGTGTCCCACAAGAGTGTCCTATAAGAGTGTCCCACAAGAGTGTCCCACAAGAGTGCCCTACAAGAGTGTCCCACAAGAGTAGTGTCCCACAAGAGTGCCCTACAAGAGTATCCCACAAGAGTTTCCTACAAGAGTGTCCTATAAGAGTGTCCCACAAGAGTGTCCTACAAGAGTGTCCCACAAGAGTGTCCCGCAAGAGTGTCCCAAATGAGTGTCCCACAGGTGTGTCCCACAAGAGTGTCCCGCAAGAGTGTCTCGCAAGAGTGTCCCTTGAGAGTGTCCCACAAGAGTGTCCCGCAAGAGTGTCCTACAAGAGTGTCCCACATGAGTGTCCCACAGGAGTGTCCCACAAGAGTGTCCCGCAACAGTGTCCCGCAAGAGTGTCTCGCAAGAGTGTCCCTTGAGAGTGTCCCGCAAGAGTGTCCCAAATGAGTGTCCCACAGGAGTGTCCCACAAGAGTGTCGCGCAACAGTGTCCGCAAGAGTGTCTCAAAAGAGTGTCCCTTAAGAGTGTCCCACAAGAGTGTCCCGCAACAGTGTCCCACAAGAGTGTCCTACCAGAGTGTCCCACAAGAGTTTCCTACAAGAGTGTCCCACAAAAGTGTCCCACAAGAGTATCCCACAAGAATGTCCTACAGGAGTGTCCCACAAGAGTTTCCTACAAGAGTGTCCCACAAGAGTGTCCCGCAACAGTGTCCCGCAAGAGTGTCTCACAAGAGTGTCCCTTAAGAGTGTCCCACAAGAGTGTCCCACAAGAGTGTCCCACAAGAGTGCCCTACAAGAGTGTCCCACAAGAGCTTCCTACAAGAGTGTCCCACAAGAGTGCCCCACAAGAGTGTCCCACAAGAGTGTCCTACAAGAGTATCCGACAAGAGTATCCAGTTTGACGGCATGAGTGAGACTAGACATGCAAGACAAGGCACGCGGAAGTATTGTTATGATGGCAGAGCTGTTTGCAAGAGTCAGGATAGCACTAGCAGGCGAGTGATCGACATGGTCACGTCGGGCGCGGACGCTAGTCGAAAGTTCAAGTGCTCAAGCAGATGTGATTTCACGACATGTAAGTACCAGCAATGATGCGAATACAGAGCGTTGTGGTTTCTGGTGAGCACTAGATGAAGCGTTTTTGCTTCCCCGCACGAAGCATCACACTAGAAAGAGACACCACGCATGAATCAAAAGACGGTTGCATTTTGGACGCGTTTGAAATAGAAAACGTTGGCAACCCAAATAATATCACGTAGAGTGCGCAGAGAGCATATCCCTGACCTTGGTGGTGGTGTCACCGGTGTAGGGGAGCGCGATGTCGCGAAGAGGACGTGCGTACACACGACCTCGGACGTTGTGGGCAGATGACAAAAGAAGGAAGGGTTCGTGGCGAGTGAAGTTGACCTTACTACATGTGCTACTGATGCTAGGGTGTTGCTGGACTATTCTTCTACCTATGACGACCTGGTGGGCGATCCTTGGTATGATATTGATACCTAGCACACTGCGATGCGTGGAGCTGCAACACGGGACCTTGCTACCGCGGCCAAAGGTGTTGCTGGTGGAGTTCGCGCAACTATTTCCTTATCATTGCATTGGATTCTCAGACATGGGTGACATGATGGAGCCTAGACTTAAGATCAATTATTTGACGCGCGTCATAGCTACCTGTTATGTTGCAGCGTTCTTCATGTCATGGTAGTGCATTAGAGTAACAATATTGTTTTACATTAACCCACGTGGTCGATCACTAGTCTGTCATGCATACTCCAGCGAAACTAAGGCGTTGTTGGGTGTATGTTTTTGCTGCGCCTGGTGCATGGGATTGCACGCAGAGACCCTCCGAAGCTGTCGAATTTACACACTCTTGCTGATCGGATGTGTATCGCATTCTTGGAAGCTGACGTGGCAGTCTCCTGTTTTGTATATCCTCCTATTTTCTTCATATCTATTTCCAATATTTCCTCCAAAGAAGAAATCGGATGTCGAGAAAGCAGAGAGTGCCCGCGCAGAGTTGGATGAGTTCATACGAGTACACGGAGAAATACCGTCGCAGCTGTCTGACTTATCCCAGAGTCGGGCAATCTATTCTAAATTGAGACGGCTGAAACTTTTGCACTTGCTGAAGCAGGAAGAGTCTCACGTAGCAGTTTGTAAAGCCACAGACACATTTTTCCAGAAGCATTCGCGGCTACCGAAACGACAGAACCCAGACACGGATGAGCGACGAGCAGAGGACGCCTTGGCGCAACGCTGGGATCGTCTGTTGGCACAGAGAGCCTCACTGGGAGATGCTCTACTGACTACCTATGAGCGACTGTTCATGGCTGCCGACGTGGAAGATGCAAGTGTTGTGGTTGATACCTGCGCAGCGGTTGAAAAGTTTTTCGATACCCAGCAAAGATTGCCCAAGCGACAGAACCCAGACACGGAG